ATATATATAATCTTTAAATATTACTATACATAATCTAGGGAGAAGAACATGAGTTAACGTGCCCCATGGAATCCTCTCTAGATACACCCCTATGTACGTTACAAGACTAACACTCTGTTTGGATCATTGTTCCTCATCGTTTTATAATGTATTATATCGTATTGTATCGTATCGTTTTATGAATACAATGTTTGGATAGATTGTACTGTCTGTTATTGTTAAATAATATGTTGCTATTTGGTTTGACTGTATCGTACTGTACTGTAATTGATAAGTTTACTAAAATACTCTCAATTGTTTAAATATTAAATTTATCAAAAATTATGCATAAAAATAATTTTAAAAAATAAAACAGAAGAAGACAAAATACCTTAAAAAAAGTAGAACAAAGGAGTGAGACAGAAGAAGGCAAAACAAAGGAGCACAGATAATTAGAATTGAGTTAAAAGCAAATTAGGAGAAAAAATAAAACAGAAGGCGGCAAAACACCTTTAACCATAGTGGCAGAAGTTCAGGAAAAAAATAAAGTAGGTTATAGGTTGGAGATTTGGAGTAAAAATAGAAAAAAAGGTAAAGGGTAAAATAGAATTGTGGAGTAATAAGTTAGGGCTTAATTGAAAAGAAAAACAGAAACAATCCCACCACACCAAATCGGTTATTTCAAAAAAAAGGGACTTTTCATTGTTCCGGAACAATAGATTTAACAATACAATACAACCAATTTTAATGAAACAATAAAGGAAAACATTGTTTTGGAATAACAATACAATACAATACAACGAGGAACAGGCATCCAAACAAGTTGTAAGTGAGCGTCTGTAAATATTTATCAACACTCAATATTCGTATCAAATTAAGTAATTTAATCTTAGCCGTTAAAAAATAAATTAATAACAAATATTATTATTTAATTATGATTAAGCAATAAAAATACATATAAGAAAGGCATACATGTAATTCATTAATTTGATATAAATAGTTAAGTAGATTTTGTAGAGTGGTTGGTAGTGGAAGTGCAAATGGTAAACCCAAAACAGCAGCAAGTAGAGGCAACCTCATAGTTTGTTCCCCCTCACTACATCAATCTATCCACTTTTTTCTTTTTCTTTTTCTTTCTTTATTCAGCAATTCATCTCTCTTTTCTGACTTCATGTTTGTCCCTTACATGTCCAGCCCCACGCCTAGAGCACTTAAATAAACAAGAATGGTGCGTGGGGACCACTCCAGTCCCTTCATTGAACCAAACTGTAATTTAATTTTTAACAAATCTACTTACACATTTAGATGTGATGAGAAATAATTGGAGTTTTAATCAAATATTTCAGAATTTCGACTCGGGTTCAAAAGATAAATTCTCAGCAGGAGCATTTTACCAACTTATCGAAAATTAGGTTTTATTAAACCAAACCACACAAAAAATTATTCCTAAACAAATCTACTTACTCCATCACATGTCATTTCATTTGGCTGGCCCCCACCTTCTCGGACTGTATACTGACCAATCTCGTCTTAATTCTAAATATTTTAACCGGGAAAATAACCAAAATAGTGCCAAAATTACCAACAAGACCAGGAGAATTTCAAATTTCCGCAGTGAATGCTGAGACAAGTCAAAGAGTTGTTGCTCTCAAAAGACTGCAATGCTTACTTTTCTTTGTCATTTACTTTTTTTTTGTTGCCCTCCTAGATTATAACCAAAAAAGAAGTTTGAAAATTCCTACTGTTACTATTGAAAAGGCTATAACTTCCGTTGATTTCGCTCATCACTCATTCCTATACTCTGACTGTTAAGCTCTTATTTTCCTTGTCCACCTTCCGCAATTGCCGCAGAAAAGAGTTTCGACGAGGGAGATCAGCTAGTGACTGTGTGAACTGAGTTCTTGATTCTTGAATATATAAAAGTAATATTTCAAATTTCCATTGCTACTTCAGAATTGAACTTGACCCACGTCAAGATTTAGTTAAATGCCGTCTGGGTTGGTCTTGTTTTGTAGTCAGGTGTCACTGTAATATATACAGAGACAGATTAGAGTTAATGAGTTCAAAATGGATGCAACATAATACTCATATACGTACATTGTTTTTGGATACGTATACATAGCTCGCTCGAGTGGAAGCTGTTGTTTCGGCTGCAAATGGCTATATTGACGATCTGTTTGATAGTGTAGAGTCATTTACAATTATATTGTCCTTCATGGGTTGTGTGGCCTCGAAACAGACCGTGTCGGTAACCCCTGCATGTGATCAATATTCAGGGACTTTCAGAGAAAATGACGACAGTAAAAGCCGTGTCGGCAGTGATGCATTGGTACCTGAATTTGATTTGAAGAGAGGAGAATTATCAGGACTAAGTGGAGGCGAGAGGGGGTTAAACGAGTCGGGCAAGGAAAATTCCAATGGTGATCAATCAGTGAGTTTGATGAAGTATGTGGAAGGAGAGCAAGCTGCTGCAGGTTGGCCTGTATGGCTTAGTACTGTTGCAGCTGAAGCCATTCATGGCTGGCTGCCTCTTAAACCTGAGTCGTTTCAGAAATTGGATAAGGTTAGTTTCAAAAATATGATAAAGAAATCTTCTCATCTACCTAGTTGAGTAGTCGAGGTGTGCGCAATCTGTCCATCAATAATATTTCTTATTAACACCTTCTACACTGCATTGCTTAGATGTAGTAGTAGCAGCAGTAGTAGTCTTTGCTTCTTTGTGTGCTGAAACTAATTAAGGTGGAGTGAAGATATCAGATTTTAATTTGATTCTTTTTTTGGTGGGGGTTTATGTGTGTGTGGGGGTGGGGTGG